CCCCAAAACCCCAAAACCCCAAAACCCCAAAACCCCAATTTTAAATAAATTTATTGATATCAACTTTATAATAATTATGGAACAGCCCAATCCCGAACAAGCAGAAGACTTTAAAGGTAGACCAAAGTGGAATTTTATAGAAATAGAGAAAAGCATTAACGTAGAACAAGTGATCGGTAAAGATCCCGTTACTGAAAAGTAGGATATCTCTTGAGTGATCTAACATTCATGTAGGGAAAGACCCAAGTCGTGAGTTTTGAAGCAAATTGATCCTAGGGATACTGAAAAATTTACCTCTGAAGGTAACCAGCATTTGTTTCTTATCTAACTCTTTTTAGACAAGAAAGACAAGCTGAAAAGAGCATTGACTTCAACTGATATGTCACCTAAAAGAAAATTTAATGTGCCGAATAAAGAAGAGATTGAAAGACCTGACATTAAGCAGGTGAAACAGAGCTCATTTAAACCGAAGAAAAAGAACACTACAAAGAACTCAAAGGATGGATCGGTCAGAGGTAAGGTCTATCATTCGCTTTGGAAGTATCTTAGATTGAGATTTATGATGAAAATATTTGTTAAGATAATTCTTAGGCAGTTGAAAATCAAAACTCTGTAGCTCATTCTTCCAAAGCTGATCAAAATGTTATGATTATAAGATCTAATAGTTTAATAATACAAGAGTCATTGAGAAGGCTATCACTACATTAACTGTTTGGAATATATTAGCTTAACCTTATCTGTAAGATATCTAGCCGACTAGAAAACTTAAATTTCATTCATAGAATCTTTGAATTTTTATGAATTTAACTCAAAAATATTTATCCAAAAACAAAGAATATCATAAATCTCTCATGCCTTTTTCCTCAAGCTATCATACCAGCTACTCTAACTATGCTTATGGGCTTGATCAACCTCATCGAGACGGAGTCTCACTAACTTATAGAGAATAAAGAGCTAGAATGGTTTTCTTTTGAAAACAGGGTTCGAGATATCATCAAGGATATCCTAGAGCCATACGCTATCAGATCAATCGACCTCCAAGAAGCTGTCGAAAACCTCACTGAAGGTCATGATCGGTTCAAGAGGAAGCAGGATGAAATGGAGTTCGTCATGCACAAGCGAAGCCACAGAAATAGTGGCATCGATGAACTTAATAAAAAGCTATTTGATATTGAAAACGAAAGAAAGGTCAGAGAAGCTAAGAATATGCAAGCTATCCAGGGTCTCAAGGTGCAGCTCGATTCTACTCGTGATAGAATGACCCAGATTGAAGAACTCAGTTTGACCTTTAAGAAGCAAGCCAATGATATTAAATATGAGGTTAATGGATTTTTCGATAAATTGACAGAATTTCAAGAAAGATTTTCTAAAGAGCAGTTAAAATATAAGGAAGACATGAACAAGAATTTCTTGACCCTTAGAAACCAATATATCAAAACAGAGGAGCTTTCGAAAGTCAATAAGAACTACATTAACAGCCATTTTGATGAACTGAAGAGGCATGATATGATTGTCCAGTCCTATCAAAAGAATCTGGATGAGATCTATAAGAAAATTCAGGTGATGGATAAAGTCAAAATCAACACCAATGATTTCAACGATGATCTCACCAAGATTAAAAAGGATATCAGCCATGTCAGATTTCTCAACGAGGATGTTTTCCAAAGTGTCCAGCTGATCGACAACTATATTGAAGATTTCATACCAGTTAAAATCGAAAAGCAGCTTAAGGTAACCTGAAGAGTTATTTTTAGGAATTCTACTCCAAAATGAACCAAGGTGTGAACCAGATCAGCCCTGTTTATAAGTATAAGCAATTATTTAAGAAGAGTAAAACCAATGAAGTTAGCTCTATCGAAGAAGGTTTGGTAAATCCTAATACATAGATACCCCACAACAGCCAGGGGAGAACACCGAAGAGAGTAAAGATCAAAAACAAGGCCCTTGGATGCCTATCAGTTCAGAGTACTCAAGCCTAGGCCCAAGTATTCCCACCTGCCTCATAATTTAGAAGCGATGATTCAGAAGTATAAGACCCTGACCACTAATCTTGAGGGGCAGAAAGAAGAGCTAGATGAGATGGAAGAGAATGAAATTGAAAGAATAGAGAAACTCCTCAAAGAAGAGAAAGAAATTGAGCTTGATGCTGACAAAGTCGTTGACTATCTCATTAATCTCATTGCTTACCTCAATGATGAAGAGGAGCAACAAGAGAAAAATGGACAAATTGTGAAGAAACAGGATATCAGTGTAAAGACTTTACTTAAAAATCGTTTCCAAAAGGCTGGGTTCACAAAAGCCGCCTTGAAGCAAAGGAGATATACCAATAGAGGAGCCGAGAGCCAGAAGAATTTACTGAACAATTCTAAACATATTCGTAAAAACACTGTTCTTAAGTCTAATGAAAGTGTTAAGAGAGATGATTCTGAGGATGATATGAGTTACACCCCTATTAGAAGTGGGTTCTCCAACATTGACGCACAGAAGAACCCTAAAAGTGTTGATTTTGAGCAAGAGAAACTTACTAAGGAAAACCAGAGGCGGCCTCCACCATACCATGACAAATTAGAGCAAAACTACAGAAAGCTAAAAATAGAAGACCTGGAAGAAGACACTGCAGAATTGATTTTTAAAGCTCTGGATGATGTCAAGGAGATCAAAGAGTCTGTTATCATTGAGAAATCCATGATTGAGGAAACAATGAAAGACCTAAAGTCTAACTTCGCAAAGGAGAGAGAAGTCCTTGATGCTAAATTTGAAAGCAACAAAAGATATCTCCAAAAATACGCTGAGAATATCCAGAAGGACTTTGAAGAGGAACTTGTAAGAAGAAACAGAGAAAAATCTAACTTTAGCTTAAAGATCAATGACCTTGAAGCCAAGGTTGATAACTTAAAGAATCATTTTGATCATCATGATTCTGATTCAGAGAATATGGCTGAGACAGTCAACTTATTAGTCCAAACTGCTATGATTAATCACTCAATGGAGCTCCAAGATGAGACTGATAGAGAGAAGTTAGCACTTATGGGATATAAAGAAGAAAGACCTGGTCTTAAGACTGCTTCCTCAAGGCAAAGAAGTAAACCCCTTGAAAGCAATGGCCAGTATGTGAATCTTGACAAACAATGTATGACTTGTTCAGGTCAGTCTTCAGTAGTGATGAAAGCATTTAAAATAGCATGATTGGCTTATAAGCCAACCCCAGTGGTTTTTCCACAGAATGGAGGAAGCACACATACAAGAATAGATTTGATAAATTTGAAGGGAAGAATGCTAGAGAAATTAGAAACAATTGCTATTACTAAATCAATGAGAAAAGAAGGTGCTAATCCACAGACTGAGAGGAATAAACTTTTCAATATGTATTTGAAAGGAGTGAAAGCAAAAAATTCACAGAAAGATCTGACTCTGAATAGTTTATTTCATACAAGACAACCGAAAGTGACTATAAGAACTGAGGCAATGAGTAGTTCTTCAGCTGTCCGTTCTGGGAGCCAAATGGATATGGCAAATAAATTGAATATGAAATACCAAGCAGAAGATTTTATCAAGAAAAATGTTACCATGCTTACAGATAAAACATTAGCTCTGTCAAGAAACCCATTTAATGAGAAAGGAGTTAAGAAAATCAAGAAAGGTGTAATAGGATCCAATACAATGTCTCTTCCTAAGATACAAACAGCTAGAAACTTAGACCGAGGGTCACTAAAAAATTAAACTTGGACAAAAATAAAAAAATATTTCAATATTCCTTCTCTAAATTGGGGTTTTGGGGTTTTGGGGTTTTGGGG